GTCTTGAATAAGGCGTGAAACTTGAGTAGCAATAATTAATTTTAAGATATAAATATATCTTGCTCTACTTTTGTATTAGTGTTGAGCACTTTATTATCTACTACAACAAAACAAATTATATATATATATATATATATATATATATATATATATATATATATATATATATATATATATATATATATATATATATATATATATATATATATATATATATATATATATATATATATATATATATATATATATATATATATATGTATATGTGACACATTAATCAAAACTGTATTCAGACACATTAATCAAAACAAGAGCCAAAAGACTTGGTTCACACATCAGTCAGTCAAAAACAAATACAAATATAAAAAATCGAGCAATGCTTAACACCCAACAGTCACATTATAAAACGTTTGTAACAAGGGATTCATAGTCATTGTTCCATTATATTGAAAAGCGCCATTACTTCAGCCTGATAAACACACAAGGATCAAGTTACACATGGTTACTGTTTCACTTTTATAGTTCGTTCAATTTTATCAATCTTCTAAGCGTTTTGAAAGAAAGCCAGAAAGTAGTATTTTGTCGTATTAATAATATTTGTAAATTACCATAAGGCATGACCATTTTTAATAACAGCTACTTAGTACACCATAATCAGCAGGGGCAGTTTTAGTGTAAACTATTTCTAGTTCATATTTTTGGAGGGAGGGGGTCACAATTTTTAGGGGGTTATTTGTATAGGGAAAAGTGTCGAAAATTTGAGACGCCCCCTAAACTTGTCAAGTAAATTGTTTTCTATGTGGCTAGTTGAACATTTTAATTATTTAATAGGGTTGATTTTAATGTCCCATTGAAGGAGAAAGAAATTACAAATAATCAAAGGTGAGTCAAAATTTTAACAATTTATGCAGATTATAGGCTATTACGTACGGTTCATGTTATAACAAGAAAATCTTATTTAAACATCATTGTTACAGGTAGTTCACCGTTGTGGAAACCTTTTTGGGTATAGATTCTTCCAAATATATCTTTTTCTTTTTATTAATTGCTCTTTATCAATCAATCATTTATTAATTTTTTTCACTATGATGGTAGTAATAATAATACAATAAATATACTGTACACAGGGCCATAACTAGACACAATAATTGGGGGGCAATATTCATATAAATCATGTTCACATACCGTAAAAACAATCGCTTTCAAAAGAAATCCGTCAGGCAGAACATGAGTATATATGAATATTCACTCCAATTATCGTGTCTAGTTACTGCCCTAACTGTATGTACACTTAATACGTACGCAAATAGCAAATGCTAATCAAGGCAAATAGTGTAAAAAAATTATGAATTGGTAGAATATAGTCCAAATTAGATGAATACAAATTCCAGTGCACAACATGCAAGTTTCTCATTGCCATGTATGAGTCTGAGGATATTGCATACCAATATTTCTGAATATTGCAATAATTAGTTATAATTTATATAAATAATACATAAAGTAACATGATTGTGTGATAAATTATATTTTTATGGGTCATTAATTTAATTGTCGTAGCTAGATGTATCAACATAATCATCCTCGAACTCGCCAAAACAGGAAAAAGTGACTTTTGAATTATTTTATTAAAGGTCTTTTGAATCCCTAGATTACCATACGTATCTCAATCGATCAGGGCAAATAATATTATATATTCTTGCTCCAAGTTTAGCAGCTAGGATAAGTTTCATGTATGTGTTTGTATACTTCCTTTGAATAAATAAAATCAGAGATCATGGTGCTTCGAGTGCATGGTATTGTGTGAGATATCATACTTCCTAAAGACAGTATAATTTAACTATAAAGCCCATGACCATGGTGTATATAATTCCTGATTGCCATGCAAATAGGGTTGCAAAAGGTACAGACAAATGAATATTTATTTATTATTTGAATTGAATTCAATAAATTAGCAAAGACAAAGTCAATTTTGCAATCAATGATTAGGGCCATTTATACGGGACAAAATAAGTCGCGACTTACATAAGACGCGTCTTATATAAGCAGAGTTATCGCATAAATGGTTCTCTACTGCTTATTCTTATTTACTTGCAATAGCTATAATGTTGTTTCGGTTGTTTTTGTTTTAATATGCAAGGCTAATAATTTTACGTTGTTTCAAGTTTCGGGCATGTGTAGTTAGAATTTTTGTCCAAAATTTCTTATTTAAGACGCAACGTAAATAAGAACAGCTAAAAGTCCTAGCTGTTCTTATTTAAGTCGCGTCTTATCCAAGACGCGTCTTACATATTAAGAATTTTGTGCCTTTTATACGACAAACTCGCGTCTTATTTAAGTCGCGTCTTATGTAAGTCGCGTCTTATGTAAGTCGCGTCTTATGTAAGTCGCGTCTTATTTTGTCCCGTATAAATGGCCCTATTGTTTAACCCTGTTCCATACTGATTTTATTCATCAAGGTGAGAGTGCTGGCACTGAATGGGTTAATCAGACTATAGCTGCCTGTGTCTAGTCAGAGGTGTAACTTAGCACTTGCCCGCATGCCTGGAGCAAGTAAATATCATGTTGGGCAAGTAAACGTTTTATCTTGGGGATTCTTGCTTGTCCGATTGGGCAAGTTGCCTTGCCACAAAAAGCTGGGCATCTTTAAGTTTATGTTTTCATTGTCGGATAATTTTTTATAGTGCATGTACTTGTTTAAAATTTTGTTTTTTTGTGGGCCAAAGCTAGATCTGAGGCAGTATAACATAGCCATATAGAGCAATGGGAGAACGGGTTAACATGTTGACCTACTGTACCTAGCCCTAGGTACCCTAGCCAGTGACCATTTTCTGATGGCAAGTGAATTTTATTCCGGGCAACTAATTTTCATGTCCAACTTGCCCCCTGAGGGCAAGTGTTCAAAAAGACAGTTACACCACTGGTCATGAAGCGCAAGAAGCCTTCACAAGTATTTTATTCCTTGGAATTGCTGTCTGCTCTGACGCTTAACTGCTCAAATAAAAGCAGAAAATGAAAATATATTTCAAATTATTTTTGCCTTAACATACCCATAACAAAGTTATGCATTCCATTCAACCCTAAATTTTTATAAAATTAGCATCTCAATAACTTGTTTTCGTCATTAAGCAAAAGATAGTTGCGTCGTGCCATTAGTTCAGCGTGGATTATAACGTTTTTGCTTAGGTCTGACAAATGTCCGATTAACGAGACTGTTGCTCGGACATTGGCCAAGAATGATCAGCCAACTATTTCAACCATTTTTACGTGACAGTGCTACAGATCGACGTACCATTATTGATTGCACATTTGCATGCAGAAAAAAGCTTGGCGTACGCCAACTAGCAACGTCCTCCCCACCTTCACTTTGTTTGTGTTTCTTTAGGAAATAAAGGTATTTACTAATATATAGCTAGGCCTACGGCTTATAGAAATTAAACATATTTTTGTAAGCAGTAAGTATTGTAAACGCCGCCGGCTATGGACTGTAACTATCGAGATTCGGTCACTTGAGAGAGTATTTGCTAAAAGAGAAGCTCAATGACAATGTTTCCTCTGAGTGATTTTTTCATCCAAATATTTATTGATTGCATGGTATCGTAGGCATAGTTAGATGCTTTTCAAACAGTACTTTTCACATAAACTACCTTCAATCTAAATGAACAGTGTGGTGTATTTTATTTGATCGGACAAAATGTCCGTGCAGAATGAAATTGATCGGCCATTTGGTGTTTTTGTTCGGCAAATAGCCGATTGCCGACCGTTATAATCCACACTGCATTAGTTATCGTAATTTTAATTAAACTGACGCCTAAATTTCCGTGCACATGATTCAACTCGTTTCTTATAGAAATCAACGTTAATTTAAAGCACAAGTACGTAGGTTAGAACGATAAGAATTATGATTACAGTGTTGGGACCACAGTATGTACTTTTCATATGTGAACTTATAGATTTTGCCATGCAGACAGAAAAAGATTTTAAGACTCTCAGAATTATTAGTGATTGCATTTTCTAAATTGAGGAGTACTAGAGATCAGGGGGTGTATATTCTTCTATGACACCCCCCCCCCCCCTGGGGTGAGGGAAAAGAATCAAAGGGTCTTAGGGCTAGGGACGAAAATCAAAGAAGAGTAGAAAAAATGGAAAGGCAGAGGGAAAAGAAGAGAAAAATTTCCGTGGGTTTTTTAAGTTTAGATATAGGTAATGAAAACCATATTGGTGTCCTAGTAATAAATTTATGCCACAATAGTCCCTAAATGTTAGATAAAAAATGTAGCGTGAAATATGATAGTGTGATGGCCTCGTGTTGTTCGCACAATGTATGCTTGTGAAAAAATGTTGTATTTAATAAAACTGAGAATAAAAGATAAAAAACTCACTTGTATATGTATAAATGTGAACCTAAGAAATATAAGTGTAGGTGTAGACTTGTGGAACATAAAATTGGAGATGCGTGTGTGAAATTGTAACGGAAAATATCCTGTTCTGTGGTGTAAAAAATGTGATCAGACCCAAAGAGTATGATCGCGCTGTTCTAAAAAGCTTGTATGGAGGCATGTAAAATATATAAAGCGAGAGAAGGAGATAGTCATGTGTGTAAAATTCAGTATCCCTGTACGCGGCGTTTCGTCCGCAGGGATTGGGGTTGGCAATTGTGTGAGAAAGACAGAATATAGAAGCCGATTTGGAATAAAGTGAAGAAGCATAAAAATTAGCAATATGTGCATATGACTATTGTATAGCGTAAAATGTAAATTGTCTTACCAAAATCGTTGTTGAGTTTGGTCAATAATTATTACTAATATAGGTACAGGCCTTTGAGGCTGATGTAGTAAAGATATGGGGAAAAGAATCAAATCTGAAAAGAAGTGGGGGGGGGGAAGAATCAAAGTTCATTGAAGAATATACACCCCTGCTAGAGATTTGTAAAAATTCTTTCTGTGAATTTTAGGGGGTTCAATTCCGCGGAAGGCCCGGTACATATCAGATAGCGGATAAGCAATCACAAATTAATGATTGAATGTGGTAGATAATGTAAACTTTGCCAAGCAAACGAATTAGAAAATGAGGAACACTTTCTCATTTCATATGATATGTCTATGACGATATTAGGCAAGACTTCCTCACGGTTCCCACCAACAATACATACCAAAGAGAACAACATTTATCACTTGACATATTAAAGTCAACTGAAAAGGAAACCATTCTAAAACTATCCAAGTTTGTTTTTTCCTGTTTTGAAACAATGGATGCTGAACACTAAAATTCAATATTGTCATATTTGACCTTTACCTTGTAAATAGCTTCTTTACCTTATTGTAATGTTGTGATAGGTAATATTTAAGGCCTATTTAAACGGATGCAACATTGTTTTATGTTTTAACAGCTTTATTGAACGATGTTCAAACGGCAAGAGTGCGAACGGGACTCGAGACCCATGCGAGGCACTCTCCCTCTTCAATTTAGTTTACATCTAATATCATTATTGACGACAATATTATATATTGGTAAACATATACCAGCTGATTATATCAAAATAATTACTGACGGTCATAATATAACCTATTGTTTTCTCTCTGCATTATATCAGCGAATGTCGAGAAGTTTTAGCGTTCTTCTGAAAAACGGGAGCGGTCTTTTTTGATTGTAGGGAAATTTCCAGGGGTAAATGTTTATACGGGCTAAAATAGCACACAGCATTATTAAAAATAATGCAGCGTGCACACAGCATTATTAAAAATAATGCAGCGTGCACACAGCATTGTTCAGTGCACACAGACATTATTCGCAATCCTTCGTCATCCTGACAAGTACACGCGATAACGTGAAGAACATCTCAAGATGAGAAGTTGACAGTGCTAAAGGCCCCTCATACAATATCATCAGGCGCCTGAAGCACTGCCAAAACGTCATTGTGAGTCCTTTCAGCTCAACTTTATGGAGAAATAGTTTCGTTTGCGCTTGTGGGATTTTATCCTAGATATACGCATGTGCAGAACACACAATAAGTTCTATTCCCGTGTTTATCCAGTTTAATACGCTCTTTGAATTAACCTTATCATTAATGATAATATGTAAACTAGAACACTATAATTGACCTCCGCTTGTGGAGATTTTAATTTAGGGCGATTAATTAAACTGAAATCTGTTCTATCACGATGCATTACATGCATGTCCTCACAAATGTCTAGTGTAACGTTGGATAGATTCATTGTCATATGGTCCCAACAAGCAGCAACGTAGTCTTCCAGCCGAAAATAATTACTTTTGATTCGGGTCAGTAATTATAATCTTCGCAGTTTGGCAACGTTTAAATCCTTCTTATCAAAAACATACTTCAATTTATTAAGTAGTAGTTTTGATGTTGACATATGCTGTACGTGGTCTTTGTATCGTAGCTGTTCATGCCATAGAAATATTTAATTCTGATGTAAACATATACCAGCTCCTCGTGTCAGGTTTTGTTTTATTCTGATTCAGCTTTCGAATTTTTAACATGGTTATACAGATCTGTATTATATGCATGGCTGCAATATATCGAATAATGCCGTTGGCCTCAGTAATTATCTATTAATTGACCATTTGCGTAATAGACTAAATTTTGAACTAAACAAGTCTAGACAAATATTCCATCACAGCTTGAAGGAGCATCACAAAATTAGTAATATTCCAAAGTTTCGTTGCAAAATGTTGTAAAATGCGGAAAATATAGCCTTGCGAAATTTGCAATTTTCAGTCATTTTAGATTACAAACGGGAAATCGACAGCCCCAAACCCTTCGAGGCTGTCAATTTCCGGTTTGTAATCTAAAATGACTGAAAATTGCAAATTTCGCAAGGCTATATTTTCCGCATTTTACAACATTTTGCAACGAAACTTTGGAATATTACTAATTTTGTGATGCTCTTTCAAGCTGTAATGAAATTTTTGTTGAGATCAAAATTTAGTCTATTACGCAAATGGTCAATTAGGACGGCTATTGCACCACATTCAAGTTATCATGCATATAATACAGATCTGTATAACCATGTTAAAAATTCGAAAGCTGAATCAGAATAAAACAAAACCTGACACGAGGAGCTGGTATATGTTTACATCAGAATTAAATATTTCTATGGCATGAACAGCTACGATACAAAGACCACGTACAGCATATGTCAACATCAAAACTACTACTTAATAAATTGAAGTATGTTTTTGATAAGAAGGATTTAAACGTTGCCAAACTGCGAAGATCTCCAGGAGAAGCAATTTTGCAAGTATAATTCCAGAGTGGAACAATACGGTTAAAGAACGATGACTGAAAAGTGCTACTTTTACATGACGGAACTTTAAGCACTAGAGAAGAATTATTACAATTACGGGTACGACTATGATTAACAAATGACACAAAATCGAAAACATCCAACATTGTCCAACATTGTTGGACCAACAATGTTGGACGATTAATTGTTGGTCAACGTGTTCAAACGGATGCAACAATCCAACAACTTTTAGCAGTTTAATTAGTACAAAATTATGTTTGAAACTAAGAACAGTGTGACCCGTGTGTTGATTGGACAGTATTTACTGTATATTAATTAAATATACGCATAGATTTTCAATGTTATTGTTTTCATGTTTTCAAGATGGCTGTTTTTGCTTGCTGCATGTGAGCCTCTACATTCTGTATATTTTAACATTATTGTATAGATTTTTACCTCATTGTTAGTATGAATATAGTTTTTTTAAAACTATAATACTATATCAGGTGAGGTTATCGCATATTTCTTGTCAAATTTAAATAATGTTAATGGACCGATGACGTTTAAATAATGTTAATGGACTGATTTTTCGCCAAATGTTGGACGATGTTGGATGAAAAGTTTGAACAAAATCAAACTTGGTCCAACATCATCCAACATAATGCAACAATATCCAATATGGGGTTCAAACGAACCCAACATGTTGAACACAACAATGTTGGATGATGCTGGTCCAACATGTTGCATCCGTTTAAACAGGCCTTTAGCCTATAGTAGTATGTATGTTTAGTTATTGTAGTTAGAACATTAGCAATACCTGTAATTGTTGGTCATGCTAATGACTCATTATAAAGTAAAGTGAGTACCGTAGGGGAATCCAAATCCGCTAGCGGAATGGACCGGGGGGTCCATATCCGCGGGGAATCCAAATCCGCTGTGACAGGGAATATTCACCGAGACGAAGTCAAGATGAATATTCCCCGATAATCACCTCGCCTTTGGCGAATAATTGCTAAATTAACAATCAAATTAACTATCTAAGATAGGTAAAGGTATACGTTCATACGCTGCGTCCATACGTGTACGAATCGTGGCTGGTGTATGTGAATAAGCACGCGTATGGTACACAGTATACTTGCATTTCAAATTTCACTGTAAACGAAACGAAGAGAAATTGTGCCGTCAGCAGCAAGTTTCATACGCCAGAATACGAATCGTGCACGGCAAATCACAGCATGTAAACGTACCTTGAGTATTTCAAACCCATTTGGTTGTGTGATGCAAATGTTTTGCAGGGGTCATATGTTGATCCTATAAAGCTATTTTATACTGTATTTCTTCCAGAATAGTGGCAGCCTTACCAACAATAAAACATTGTTTAACAAATGGAGCAAACAATGTTGTACTAATGAGTCATCTTGGAAGACCTGATGGTTTAGTAAATGATAAATATTCACTCGCTCCTGTATCTCAAGAATTAAAGAAACTTCTAGGACAGTAAGTTAGCCTGTACACTATTTTACTCGTGTAAGCCCCCCCCCCCCCCCTGCTTGAGCGCCTGATCGATTGAGCGCCGTATATTAGATCAAAATTATTAGGGACTGCCCTTGCCGAATAAACGCCCTACGAGGTTGCAATCTTCATTGCAGTGTTTTTACATAAATTATTATGTTATATTTTGTTGCTAATATTTCTTGTTATCCAGGGTTCGTACAAAACTTGGAAATCCTTAAATGTCCTTGAATTTGAAAACAAAAATTCAAGGCCTTGAATATTTTGGAATTTGTAAAGAAGTGCTTGAATTCTTCTTGCTTTAGTTTATGGATATTTTATGAAATTATTTGTCCCTCCAAAACGGACATTTTGTTGAATTGATCATGATTTTGCATGTTCATATCTGACAAAACTGTTTGAAATTCACTTAAGTTGCGTTTTGAACAATTCAACGTGACATTGTACTGATTTCTAACGACTTCTGTTCAGTGTTTGAATTTGCTGATACATGGTCTTGAATAAAAAGGCCTTTGTCTTGAATGTCATCAAAAAGTCCTTGAATTTGACTCTTTCTGATATGTACCACAGTTGTACGAACCCTGGTTATCGCTTGCAAATAAAATATAAAGGGCGCTGTCCTAGAACGAGCACCGCCCTCAAATAACCGTCACACTAAAAATTTAAAGAGCTCCGCGGCGCTTAAACGATAAATACAGTATACGCATGTCTTAAGTTTATGGTAGAATTTTTTTCATAAATATTTTTAAATAAATTTTAAACAGAGACGTACAATTCTTGTCGGACTGTGTTGGGTCTGAGGTAGAAACCGCTTGTGCAAAACCAGCTAAAGGTATAGTATATTTCAGTCTCAGATATATGAACAACTAGTTTCATATTATTCTGACACTTCTGCAGAGAACAACGAAAAATGCGTTGTTATATGAGCGGGATTCAAACTCGCATCTTCGGGTTTCTAGACTGCCGCTCCATACCCATTCAGCTATCGAGTCAACGAGGATTGGTAGCGAGCCTTAGTTATGAAATACAATTTAAGTGCACGAAATATTTTCGCGGTGACTTAGCGCTTGTCTGGAGGACATGCGCAGTGTTTCAAATCTATTTCAGAACCATCCTTAGAGATGTGAAAAACTAGTCTCATATGAAAAACAAGTTGTATAATATGAAACAGTATATTGTGTGCCCTTTTCTTATAAATGATTTTTAACTTATTAATTAATTATGAATGATAATTTATCTTATTCATACCATTCCGTACCTTAATGCCAATGGACTTTCAATCTTCAGTAAAAACACTAGACAACACATTGATCTTACTCAGTTGATTAGTAAGAGCAACTGGTGTGTTGTCTAGTGTTTTTACTGAGGATTGAAAGTCCATTGATGTGCGGAATGGTATGAATGCTTAAGCGCTATAGTATAATAAGTCTGGGTTCTCCCAGAACGGCAGTCAATGGACCTAATAACCAAAATTTTGATCTCAACAAGTCTAGACAAAAATTTCACCACAGATTGAAAGAGCATCACAAAATTAGTAATATTCCAAAGTTTCGTTGCGAAATGTTGTAAAATGCGGATAATATAGCCCTGCGGATAATATAGCTCTGCGCGGGAAATTGATACCGCTTTCTGAAAAAAGGTATCAATTTCCCGCGCGTAATACAAAATGACTGAAAAACGGCAAACTTCGCAGGGCTATATTATCCGCATTTTTCAACATTTCGCAACGAAACTTCGGAATATTACTAATTTTGTGATGTTCTTTCAAGCTGTGATGAAATTTTTGTCTAGACTTGTCTACCTGTAGATCAAATTTTGTTTATTAGGCAATAGGTCCATTATGTGGTTCATTGGTTTTCGTTTGTGATATTTCAAGAACTTGTTAGGTGTTATCAAAACACGCAACAGTAATTCTATACTGTTTTAAAATCATCTTACATGCAGGTGCCGTCATTCTTCTGGAGAATTTACGTTTTCATATTGAAGAGGAGGGTAAAGGTGTCGACAAAGATGGCAAAAAGGTAAAAATTCCGTCCACGTGTTTATTATTGTTAGAAATCACAACGTTCTCTGGCGAGATATTTTTATTTGCGAGCTTTCGGCTATCTATCTGTTTATTTATACAAATTATTTCAAAACGATAGCCCTTCACTCCTTCAGCCTAAATGCTTTTTCAAGAGGCCGTTTATTTACATGAAATTATTAAATATATACTAATATAAAAATATTAAAGACTATACTTTACAGGTATATTCACACAAACCAACTTATTACTCACAGGCCTACTGTTTACGTTTACCTTCAACACAATTCTATTCTTCCCCCTGTTGCAAAAATGTAAATTAAATACCCTTTAACTTTAGCTGATGTACGGCATTTAATGACGTGCGTCTCTGAATAATAATGCTTGTTGGCGAATAAGAAGTGCATTGGTGCGTCGCTAAATACAAGTGCATACAAACAAGCTGACGTATATAACATTAAGGGGGCTTCGAATTCTCAATCCCCGAAATATTTAATGTAGATTTGTTAGAGACATTTCAATCAAACAGTCCATCCATGAAACAGAGTGACGCGCCCGCGATCATTGATGGACTTTTCACTCCGCTAGCTTTCTTTCACACTTGTGAAAATAGCCGAGCGGAATTACTGCCCTCGCTACGCACTTTGCTAGGGATACTTGTTATAGCAAATAAGGAGTACATTACCGAGCAACATCTGAAGAGTTTGAAAATGTTCACACTAAATTAAATGTCGCTAGTTACTTTGCCATTAGTAACATAACGGTTTCAGGCTTTCATGCATGTAGAATAAACAATGTACATTCATTTTCTTGTTATATATATTATAAATAGCAATTGGATTAGGTTATTTTAAACAGTTATTGTAAACCGAAATTACCAAGGTCGAGGTAAGTGTCATGATTCGAGCCGAAAGCGAAAGTGATAACACTTACCGAGACCTTGATAATATGGATATCACAGAAACAGAATTAAAGTGATTTGTCGCACAAAACAACGTTTAGTTTTAAGAAAAGCGATTTAAACTATCAGGCTATCAGCATATATAGAATATTAGAAAACTCAGTTGCTCATGCTAAAATTCTGATAAAAACTTTTGCATGCACAAAAACAATTGACAAAAAAGTCTTTCGTTCCTGTTGGCGTTTTCCTATTTTAATTCGTGTATCTAAAGCTGCCGCTAGCTATAAAACTACATACCGCAGGCTCAACTTACAGAAGTGTTGTATCTGCTAGCAGATAACAATATTGTCTGTAAGTTACGTGAGATTTTCTGGGACATCCCCAAAAATATTTGGCAACCCCCCCCCCCAGAAAGTTTTCCCCTAGAGAAATTTGCACACCTCCCCCCAGAAATTTAAATGCTCATTGGATTAAATGACAGTAATATGATTGAAATGAGGATTTTGAACTAAGTAAGACTAAAAAAAGGATTTTGAACTAAATAAGACCAAAAAAACAAAATTTCCTAGGGGCTTCGCCCCCCTTACCCCCATTAGCAGCTGTGCTCCCAGACCCGGGTTGTACGGTGGTGCTACGCACTCCATCGCCCAATCCCCCCCATAAATTTTCGGCACCTCCCCAGAGCAAAATCTGAAAATCCGTCTATGAATAAAATGATTTACGACCAACCTTTCAGGTATATACAGTATAAGGCATCTGAATATAATCTCAAACAGTCGATGCCATGCAGTGTAGGTAAAGATGATAACAAACAGCTGTGGTGTGAAAGGATAACTATACCGAATATATATATATATATATATATATATATATTTATAAGTTTACAAAAACGTATACTTATACAATTGCTATTTCTGGTTATCAACTATTTAGATTAGATCGCAAAAATAAGCAGCATGGCGGTGTCTGCTTATTACTTATATGTGAGGAACACTATTGAGAGTAAAACGTTGTCCGTACTACATAACGAGGATTACGAAGTCCTGCATGTGGTGTATACTACGACCTAAACGTTTACCTCGTGGTTTTTCAAATATTATTGCAGGTGTGCTTTATCACCCTCCAGGGGCGAATAACACAGCAATGAAGGAACACCTTAAATCATCACTGGAAATAATTGAAACACGTTATCCAAATAGTGGCATAGTTATAGCTGGTGATTTTAACCAACTCGATTTTAAATCAACTGCGAAACTTTTTAACTTAAAACCTGCTATAAATTTCCCTACTCGAGGAATTAATACTCTTGATCAGATTTTTACAAATCTTAAAAACTTTTATAATCCAGCAGAAAGTGGTCCACCGTTTGGCTTATCTGACAATGTCACGATCACTATGATTCCAGCAAAACGTGTCAATTTACGACCCCAAAAAACGACTATAAAAGTACGGGATAAAAGACCAAGCAATGTTGCAAGC